CCCCCACACACCTTTCTTTGTTGTACTTCGCAGATAGGACTTACTTAGTCTATAAGTGTTTCTATTGTGTTGGTCTATATAGCTACATGTAGACAGATTGTTCAGCATGCGGGAAAGACACAAGGCACCCTCTGTACATTTGTTGTCGAGACTTTCTACAAACTTCGGATGGTACAACAAGCTTGCTGGCTAATTGGAATGCATTCCATATAGGAACTACTCCCCGGTTGTCCACCCTAAGGTGCTTCTACTTTCCTCTACCTTCATGTGACTGCTGCAATACGACGCATACATGACCCGGTCAAGAAGGTTTCTGCAATAGTCTACGGCCTTTAGTCCCACGAATTGTTGTTTTTTCCCAGTGTAGCGACCGCTAGTCGCTATTGAGGCTCCCGGTTTAGCAACCACTGGTCGCTAAACCGGGTTTAGCGATATACTCTGAATAGCGACCATATTTCGTCGTGATACTAGGGGTCGGTAAACCGGGGGCCCCACTGTAATGATATTGCAGCAGATAGACGTCATGTGATTGCGTAGCCCATCGTAATAAATTCGAGCGAAGACGTGACTACTGAGCGGATGCGACATGCGACGTGCGAACCGGACGGAATAGCACTCATTATGTACACAGTAGTGGCATCGCCAAGACGACCATGAACGATAGACGGCCGGAACATGCACCTCAGGTAGGTGGCTCTTCAGCCTCCCGTCGCCGAATGAATGACTGTTGTTGTGATTGTCTCGCACTGAACTCCGTTTACGATCTCTGTTTCAGCAGCCCCTCCCACTTTCTAATTGTCTGGCGCGGACGCCTGCGGAGTTCCGTGGTCACAACAGGCAAACCGCCAAGATATAGGGCCTAAATTGGGTTCATGGGAAACTACGGAGAAACAAAATCATGCAGAAAAATCACAAAAGGCCGACAACATTCAAACCATCATAGAAAATATGATGAAGTCCCGAAGCACACTTCCTTCGAGGTAGGTGGCATGAGAGATCGACAATAACCACCACACTGCAACTCGGACGCACCTCAAGGTTAGCGTAGTGCATGATCACGGCAGGCAGCCGCGCGCGATAACACGGAAAGAAAGCAAGAGTTTCGGCTACTGCTTCTCCCTGACGAATCGACGACGATTAACAGAAACGTTATCCTCAACTTTTAGGGGAAAATCTGCTGAAAGCAATCTCTCGTTAATCGCTGCAGCCCTTGCTTGCGAAGGATTGCTTCGATCGCACTGTCACAACGAAACACAACGCCGGTGACGACTTATAAAAACACGCGCCTCCAGAACCACAAAAAACCAACAGAAGAAGACTACTCCCTCCAGCTATATCGAAGCTGTAGTGCTACGCTCTTCGGCGTGTCCACCCCCCCACCTCTTGCCAGCAGCAAAAAAACAGCACCACCAACCAAAAATAATAAATGGTCTTATCTGGTAGAATCTCAATATTGTATGCAGATCATGGGGACGAACATTACTGATAAAAAAATGTTTTCCCTGATATGGGAAAATGGACACATTACCTTCCGTTATTCGCTGCAAACATTGTGCAAACACCATGCTCTCACGGAGAAAAAAGGAAGATAACCGAGCAATCCGAACATACCAGTAAGTCAGGACACCCATCACCTACCCCCACAAAACTTAGGAGGCACTTCTTTTATGAAAACACGACGAGATACAGATTGGCTCCAGACGGCACAACAGAACGACGCACAAGGTTGACCACCGAGTCGTTGCCACAAGCAAAGGCATCGGCACTAAACCACCGACCGGGAAAACGGCACGGCTAACAAACAACATCATTTTGCGTCTTTCTTGCCACGAACATACGCCTCGTCGCGGGGGGGGAGGGGGCTGGTGATCGAACCATTGCAGAACAGAACACGTGGGGCTGCCCGCAAACGCGCCCCTAGATCCATGAACATGCACGTCCAGACCAACGATGGAAATCTAAGACAACCCGCGTCCCAACAGGGCAGCCGCCGGTAACACCTGGAAGAGGTGTGCGGGAGCGCCAACACCATGTGCGGCTGGTCTTGTGGAACCCTAGCCAATCAACCCAACCTGCTGTCCTCTTACTAGGGTTTTCAGTGCTAGACTACCCAGGCCAACTCGGCACTCATTACTCTAAAAGACCTGGTACTCATCTTCAAGTCTTGCCGGCGAATCCCGACACTCTCGTGTGCCGTGCTTATCTACGGCGGGATCCATCGTTCGGGGAGGCTCACTCGGTCTCCCCTTCATTTGTCTATAGATCCTCTTCTTTGTACTCGTCCCCTTCGACGAAAACGCCAACCCCAGGTGGAGGATAGACAGGCAAAAAACGCGGGGAATTGGCCGGCCAATCCGGGGAACCATGTCCTGCATGCACCATGAGGCACCGCCCGCTAAACGACCGATGGGTGCGTATGTACATAATTGCACGAGCGGTGCGGCTTTTACGCTTACAGGCCCGTTGTTGGACGGGGCACTTTCTCCGAATAACCTCCTAGAATCAGGACGACATGCACCCATGCTTTCACATGCACCCATGCTTTTACATGCACCCATGCTTTTACATGCACCCATGCTAACATGCACCCAGTCTACACGACGTGGCACTTCTACCCTCGAGACTGCGCGCATGAAGAGCCAAGGACGTCAGAATCGATTATGTCCCCTTCCGTAGGCGACGACGGAAAATTACGTGCGCCCCACGAGATGAAGAGAGCAGAGGGCAGCGAGATAAAGTCGCAGTCTCGCGCGCGCGCGCCCGCGCTCAGAACGATTCTCCTGAGTGTACCCTTTTGCGTGTACCCTAAAAGCGCGGTCAAAGCACTACAATGGAAGCGTGTTTACCCGCCTACCATACCGCCGGACGGGTGCTGTGGCGTCACGTGCTCTCCCCGAACAGGTTGTGGGGTCGATTCCGCCGTGCAGGGGGGGCGGCGGCGGCGGCGGCGGCGGCGGCGGTACCGGCGGCACCGGCGGCGGCGGTAGCGTCCATCTTCTCGATAATGCGCGCCAGGGTTTCCACGGCCTGGGCTGCGTCCGGGCGCTCCTCCGCCTCGGCGTGCCAGCACGACCGCAACAGGCTCTTCAGCTCGTCCGGCCACCGCTTGTCCAACGGCGGCCGAACTCCATGCCGGAACACCTGCAGCGCGCCCAGTCGCGGGGGTTAAGGACGTAGCGGCGCTGACTAGGTGGTCTTCGAGGAAGGTCTCCCAGGCTTCACAAGACGTTCGTGTGGGCGAAAACTCACGTCTGCGGCTTCTTGTGTCTGGTCGTCGTTTTTTGTCTTGTTGGCGTTGTGTTGACAATCTGGGCGCTACTCCGCCCACCTTTTCTCGCTGCTCCTATGTATGTGCTCTATTGTAGGCAGGCAGAAAAATAGCGCCCATGTCCACAAGCCAACTCACCAACGGCACACATGCGTACACAAACATTAGCATGCCCGAGAGTGATGCAGACCAATCATCTGAAAAACGGGAAAGTTTAAAGTTTGCTACATATCAATGCCCGGAAGCGTATAAGGTGGGCACAGCCAGAATATATCTAACTAAAACAGGTGCCGTGATCCTCGTTCGAACTCGAAAAAAAACAAGGAAAGGAAAACGACGACCGACTTGTTGGGGCCGCGACCCAAGAAAGCACGGAACGCTCGTTACACCGAGTGAGTTGAAACAAGACCAGCTTGCCCTGCTATTTACCTTGCGAGCGTGCTCGTGGGAAGACATCCCGGCGAACGGCTTCTGGAGGGCACACAGCTCCCAGAGAACGATACCGTAAGAATATATGTCCGCCTGCAGTAGCGGCAGCGGCAGAATAAGCAACGGCAGCCAACCAGCAGCAGCAGCAGCAGCAGCAGCAGCAGCAGCAGCAACAACAACACTGCCGGGTCAGTCGGACAGCCAGGGGCTCGACGAAAATCAACGTGTTCTCATCGTGAACGCTGGCCACGAGGCAAAATAACGACCTCAAGAGCACAAAAACCATCCGCAAAAAGCGAAACGTCGCAAAAAAAAAAAAAACACGCCCACGGACGGCAGACCTTCGCAACCCCAGCAAGAGGCACCGTTTCGTCGTCGAGAGCGACTGGCACGTCGAGCGTTAGCCCGGTCAAAAGGCAAGAGAACGCCCAACGCCAACACACACGACGAGAGCCAAAAAAGGACACCCGTCAATAATTCCCGACGATACCGGAACGCCCACACGCGTGGGAGAGAAGTTTCACAATTGCATTATCTGACGGGTAGACAGGATTTGCAGAGTAATGTTTGCTTTCTAGGCAAGATAGTCGTTCGAGACACCAATCGCCTACCCTACAGCTGACGCCCGCACTTCAGAACCTGGCAGAAAAGAAAATTGACCCTCGAAAAACTCTACAAGAACTTGAGAAACATTTGTGAGCTCCGTTAAGAACCCCTATACAATAACCTATATAGCGGCCATTGGTAGCATAACCCTGGGAACTAACAACCCCAGCCCCGCCCACAAGTAGAGGTTCTGCAAGTGCGGGCACAACTGTAAGGCAATACTGTAAAACACCTTTTCGTTGTAGGGCATCCCGTCGAAAACCTCCGGTGCCATAAACCTTTTCAAGTACAAAGGTGCGAAGCGGCAAACACGAGCGGGAAACAACAAGCAAGAGAGGAGAGAGATGACCCAAAAAACGGAAGAGAAAAAAACCAAGGTGATGGATAGCACCGACAGCGGCTGCCCGTACGGACGTACAAAAAGAAAATTACACTTCGAAGTGTATGATGCAAGCATCTACTTTAAAATGAAACTGGAAACGACAGTCTGCATCTCGGCGGGGGTGGGAAAGACATAAAAAATTGAGAGCAAAAAGCTACGGAACGGAAGGTGGGTGGGAAACAACCAAATTTATTGTCCGTCATGTCTTGAGTAGCTTTCGCCGTTTGCGTGTTTCACGGCGGCTGCGAGGCGGGAAGACGCTCACTCCTCCTACACCAGGCTCGCGCTTTGGTGACCAACAAAGAGTAGCGACAACCAAACAGAGAAACGCCGTTCGATCCGGTCCATCGGGAGAGCGGAGAGACTCTCGCCCTCGGCAAATTGCTACACAAACACATACGTACCTCTGCTTACGAGATTGAAAGACTCAGGGTGTCCTCCTCAACCTAGTTAGGTAAAACAGGCAGTCTTGTGGTAAAGAAACCATGGAAATTTTTCATTCCTCATAGTTTGGCGACGAAAATGCGCACAACAGGCGGACCAACGGCCAACTCTAAATAAAAAACAGACTTTTTATGTCGTCTTCTCTCACCTCTGACTTCCGGTCTGGCCAGTCATCTGCAACAACGACAGCACCAGAGCCAAACGGCAGTGACAGCAGTATTTGTGGTGGACGAAGCAGCAGCAGCAGCGGCAGCGGAGAGGGTGACAAGACGCACTTAAACCGAGCACAGGGAGTTTTTACCAACCTACAGTATCTTCAAAAGTCAGTCAGAATTGTGGGCCAAGCAAAAGTACGGGGAATGTCTGGTTTTCCGGGGGGGAAATCTACTTCGAGTAGTAAGGATGGAACGAGGTTTCGAAGGCAAGAAGTGCGTTGTTTACGTGCGTACGATAGTAAGCTCCCCGTCGACAAAGGAACCCGAAACAATCCGCAACCGCGCTCGCACAAAGCACAGGTGCGTGTACTTCTTGCCCACCCCAGACGGGCGCCTCCTCGTCGGCCATCGGGATTTGGGCCGCCGAATCCTAACACGAGGTTAACATTCGCGCACACAAGCGCGATCCACCCGCCCGCCCGCTCCTCCTTCGCTTGAAGCTCGAGAGAAGGCGAAAAGGAGGGTTAAGAAAAGCGGCCAGCTGGCTCACCACATATCGGTCCGTGAGGGGATCTCTCTGCTCGCGCAACTTCGCCAGTCCGAAGTCGAAAACCTTGAGGACACCGTCGTCGGAGATTCCGATGTTGCTGGGCTTCAGATCTCTATGCTCTCACGCCACCGAGGGGGGTTGGTTGGTCGATGCACAGGCGGGCAGGGCGGTCGCATGCCGCGGGGCGAGGGAGGAAAGCGTTTTCGTTAGTGCTTTGCTGAATTCGTTCGCTGTCATTCGACCCATTCATACCAAGCAGCAAGCAGCCCGTTGAAAGGCTGCCTCTTGAAGAAAAAAGCCGAACGAAAGTCTTATAACTATACAAGGCTCCCCTTCGGCAGGTAGGTGCGCTTGCTTTTCGGGGGCGACGCAAGAGGGAATGGCCACTGCTATCATGGTTGCATCGCTGTATATCTCAACCTCCTGTAGTGGCACGATTGGTTTCGGTACAAACTGCAGAAAATACCTCGCATCAACTTGCGGGGAATTTTTCGCACCGTAGGACTCTCCGCGTGCGCTCGCGCTGTCTCTGCCGTAGATCCTACTACTGAATGTACCGCAGACTGCTGCTACTGCTGTGTTGTTCAACTGCATTCTTTTCGGCGGGCATTTGTGTATTTGTACGGTCATCGCTAGGAGGTTTCTGCGCAAACTCTCTGGGATCAGTCCCAGTAAAAACATTCCCTCTGGTGAGTCCCAAGCACAAATATGATAGGGTAGCGGCGTCTTTACCGCAGATCGTATCGTTGCAACCCGATTTTTTTGCTCTGTCTTTACCTCTTCGTTTCGTACCGCGTTGCTCATGGTGTGATGGGGAACGTGTGTGGCTTGCGCAGGAGACAAAAGAAATCTCACAATGGTTCCTTGTGCGGATGAATGAAACTTTTGTAAATACTGCGAAGGATTTTTTGGCACGGAACATGTCCCCGGGGGATAGAGCCAGTTTTATTTTTACTTTGGGCGTCGAACACACGCGCCACGGGTGGCTGGCGGTCCTCGGGCGTGCGCGGAAATGTACCGACGATCCCCCTGCGTGCCCCTGAGTAAGGAGCGTGAGAAAAGATTGACTTCCACCAGCAAAAGATGTCCCGAAGCACGAAAACAGGCGAAATGATTCATACGCATACAGTATACGAGTACAAGACGGTCCCAGGAGTTATGGGATCAGTCATCATTTTGATGCAACAGAGAGGTCGGCTTGCCTGAGCCCTTCTTCCCATTTGGGGCGGCCACCATATCTTCTGCCGGTAGAGCGATCCTTGAGGAAAGAGAGTGGGGCAGAGCATGCATAAACGGGGACGGACAACATACCGGTGTATGACGAAGCCCCCCGGGATGCTCTCGCTGTGGAGATATCTCAGCAAGTCCCCGAGCTGAAGGCCGTAGCCCAGCCGTTTCCTGAAGCGGAACTTTGCTCTAAGCTTCTTCTGCTTGAACTCCACAATCATCGACGTATCATCCACGTCTGTCCCGCACTTCAGTGTCCATATTGTACGATGAAAAAACGCGTAGCGTCGCACAACACAAAAAACAAAAACAAAAACCATTAGAGACAGCATGTAGGAGCAGGGGGGGGGGGACTTGGCGAGTTGACAGACGAAGCATGCTCGCAACCTTTAACCTACACTCACCCCGGAGACAAGAGTGCTGCGGAAACAAAAACGTCAGTTGTATTTGTGCAAACCCCGACACATTAACAACACCTCGTCGGCACAGCCCCCAACACGTCAGTTAGATTAGGACACTTTCCAACACTTCGGGTAGGACACTCCAACACTTCGGTTGGGCTAGGCACACCCCAACAGGTCGATTAGGCGAGGACGTCGCAACACGTCGGTTAGGTTAATCACACCCCAACACGTCCATTAGGACACTCCAACAAGTTATCTTGGTTGCGACACCACAAGACGTCGGTAAGACCAGGTCATCCCAACAGCAAGGCTAGGTCCCAATCCCACGGGTAGGTACACCCACCACGTTCGCTACGTACGCCCAACCCCACGATAAGGTGCGCCCTAAAAAGCCGGTTAGCGTTCCAAACCTCGATGTCCAACAGGTACCACCACAAGAAGCGGATTTTGGAAAAAAATGATTGTTGAGGAAAAGCTCCCCAAGCAGACGGATCATTGGCACCCCAATGTGGTTGAGATATCGAGCTCGGAAACAATCCCACCTATAATCGGGGTCGGCGTGTTTGACGAGTGACGATATCCCTATCTTCTCAAGCCAAAAAAAGAAGCCACTACAATGTACGCGCGTTGGATATTCAAGCTTCTGGGAAATGTCAAGAGGCGGGCAACCTCAAAGTCTACATGTGAACGCGTCTGTTTGTCCAATAGAGTCCAATAGAGTCCAAAGGAGTCCAGTAGAGTCCAGTAGAGTCCAATGGAGTCCAATAGAGTCCAATAGAGTAATTACGGTTCTATTGCGCTCCTCCGAATGGTACGCCTGTGAACGCAGAGGCTCGCATCTTTTCTACGAGCGGCACGGAACTTGTCCTGCTTACAGCTCAGAAATAGTCAAGAATGTGAAAACAACAACAACAATAACCACACAACACCAACAACACACCACAAACAGCAGCAGTAACAAAAATCACCAAGCGACACCATCACCAAGCGACACCATCACCAAGCGACACCATCACCAAGCGACACCATCACCAAGCGACACCATCACCAACACTAACACAACACCCCCAGCAACAGCAACAGCAACAACGAAATCGCCAAGCAACACCAACACCAACAACAGTAACAACAACATTATCTACGCGCCCGGGGCGACACACACACCTGCTGCGCCAGGTTCTTGTACTGCAACCGCTCCAGCACCAGGAACGGCAGCTCCCCCTCCGCCCGCCAACCCCCCGCACCGTACACGGAGCACAGGTGCGGGTGCCTGAGGCGCTTGAGTATTCTTATCTCGTTGGTGAGGTCGGCAACCGCCCCCTCCGGATCGGAGCAGGTGGCCAGGGGGATCTTGACCGCCCGCTTCTCTCCGTGGAGCATGCACGCCAGGACCGTGCAGTAACCCCTTACGTTGGTAAAAAAAAATGGTTATTATTCAGAGGGATGGGGAGGGTGTTGGTACTGGTATTGGCTGTTGTTCGTTCGTCGTTGGTCGTGTGGTCCTGGGTGATGAGAGGTGGTCAAGACAATTAATTGCACAGGCACACACTTCGGTGCAGAAAACAGGCAACGACCGGTTGCTGAGTCGCGAGTGCTACATATTTTATTCGTTGGAGAGGCAGGCAAGGTCGAAGCAATTAGTCTACGAGACAGGCGCTGGCTGAGCGAACAGGCCTACGCCCAGAGACAGGAGTTGCTACAATCCGAAACTGCATGTCCTCCATGGGTCGCGCACACACACAGAGGTGCACACCCCGATCCCTTTCAAGTTTGGGTAGCCCTATTTTTCCAGGCCCGCGGCATTTACTTGTGTCTAGCGCGCTTGCGTGGCTTGGATTTTCATCACATCTTAGGAGGTGTAGGCTCATTGTCGTCTTGCGGGCCCGCGTTGCGCAGCTGTTTAAGATAATGGTTATTTTTCGATCACCGACCTTTGCAGACCCACTATGATCACCATTACGGCGCTCCCAAATTGTGCATATCATGCAGTCGTTCGTTCATCTCTACCGTGATTCCAGTTTCTGCCGAAACGGGAGACCATATCGTTCAGGTCACCCATCAGCAGTAGGTGAGAGTTGCATACCAAGAGTCGAAAACATCGCGCATAATGCACAGCTTCGATTGCGATGGGATCACGCAGCACTTGTCTCCTTTAAATATCAAAGGGTGAAAACAGCTTTTGTAAGGCGGGGGCGTGCCTCGCTTGAGGCGCCCGTCTAGATTGGTGGCAGGTAGAGGTCTGTGTGAGAAGCATGAGGTGGTGAAAGAACTGCGCTCAGCCAGGTTCAGCTGGGGGAGTGGATGACAAAAACAAGTCACGCTACAGCTTGTGCCGGCAATCCTGAGGCCGATTTTAGTTGAGAGGTCATTACTTGTGACTGCGGTCTTTCGACAATGTTTTTACGCACGTCTTGTCATGTGATGGCATTGAAAAGACCACGTAACAACAACAGAGGATGCCAACAAAAATGCATGGTACATGTTTGACGGGCGTAAAATTCTATCCGCACTCTGCGTAAAAGTTCCTATGGTTAGGAAAACTTGTGTATACCGAAAGGTGTAGGCTGGCGCCAAGACTTTATGCCGCTAAAATATTCCCAAATAAAAGAAAAAAATGAAGTGTTTTCATTATGCACCGTCGGCTATGACACTTTATACAAATAGACGAGGTACAGTAAGTGCTGTCTTGAACAGTATCAATAGTAATAGTACTCCCGCGGAACAAGTAGAGGACACGGAAGAAAAGTACAGGTGATAAATTACGGAGAGAGCACGACGCAAAGGGTCTGGTCCAGGTAGCCTCTACTTAGTCTCCAGGGCAGGCAAGTGTGTGGTATGGCGTTGACGAAGGGGGTTTTCTCCGGGCGGAAACACTTCCCTCCTTCCGTCTCCATCTTCCCGAAACGAAACCGGATCGCCCGATTCGCAGTAAACGAGTCCAGATATTCAAGACTCGACGTATTTGTGCATATGCATACGTACGTGCAGTGATCGAACACCACACTAACAAATATTCGACACAAACACCAGAAATTCGCCATTACGTTATGCGTTCCTTTACAGGTGAGCATCCGTCAAACGCAATTCAGGGGGTAATTCAATGTACTGCGTTAGCCTCCTGTTGGAGGAGACTCCCAGAGCTTTCCGGAAAATCATCGCGTCTCCTGAGTCAAACTATGCGGCCGCACTCTCTTACAATGGATGTCCCATGCAAGATTTCACACCCTGTACAACTAGTTTAGTTGGTAGCCGTTTGCTAGACAATTACTCTTCCAGGAGCGTGCGCACCTATTAGTTGCCTGCCGACAACTACTGTTCCAGGAGCATGCGCATCTAGTTTCGCGCAGACAACTACTGTTCCGGAATCGTGCGCACCTAGTTGCGTGCAGACAACTACTTCTCCAGGTTCGCTCGCACCTAGTTGCCTACATACAACTACTCAGGAGCATGCGCAACTAGTTGCCTGCAGACAACTACGTTTCTGGGAGCGTGCACACCTAGCTGCCTGCAGACAACCACTCTTCCAGGAGCGTGCGCAACTAGGTGTTCACGAACAGCTAGCAGGTCTAGCAAACAACTAACTCAGTTGTCAATTGGTTTGAATGATGACTTTTGCATGCCACGGGTAGACCAACGAGCTTGCTAAAGACGGCACTAGATGGACCACGTGATGCACATACTCAACCCTCTCCACGGTGTGGCATATCTAGTTCAGAACACGGCAGCAAATGGCGCCATCGCGCGAGACCAGCGTACTTACTGTGGTTGAACCCTGCTGGTTGAAACAGCTCGTTCGCCCACCGCCCAAGCTTGATGGGCACGGCAATTTTTTAGATGTTGAGCATGAGCGGACGATGTTTGGCGAGATTCCAGGAACACGAACTGCTGTGCACGGTATGAGTCGATTTTATGTATACGCCCAAAGGCAATGTAGGAGAGAGGTGATAGGAAGTCGACTGCAATGTGGAATAAGAAAGTTGAGGCTGAAGACTAATCTTCCAGGAGCGTCCGCACCTAGTTGCCTGCAGGCAACTCGTGCTTCAGATGTTTGCGCACCTAGTTGCCTGCAGACAACTACTCTTCCAGGAGCGTGAGCACCTGGTTGCCTGCAGACAACTACTCTTCCAGAATCGTGAGCACCTAGTTGCCTGCAGACAACTACTCTTCCAGAATCGTGCGCACCTAGTTGCCTGTAGACAACTTCTCTTCCAGGATCGTGCGCACCTAGTTGCCTGCAGACAACCACTTTTCCAGAATCGTGAGCACCTAGTTGCCTGCAGACAATTACTTTTCCAGAATCGCGCGCACCTAGTGGCCTGTGGACAACTACTCTTCTAAGAGCGTGCGCAACTATGTGTTCACGAGCAACTAGCCGGTAGTTGTCTGGCAAACAACTAGACTAGATATTAGTTAAAGTTGTAAAGGGTGTGCAAGTTTTACATTTCGGCAGCAGCGGGGCAGCGGCGGGGGCTCGTCCTCTGCAGGGGGAAGAGAGTTGGTCGAATGGGTAGTCTTTCTGTGTTTGTGTTTATGTTTTCTAATTCCTTTCTTCCCCTCGCTGCCTCGGCAAGGTTTTGCGTAGGCATGACCCATAGCGAGGGGGGGGG